ATATATATATATATATATATACACACACACATTTATATATATATTATTATTATTTTTTTATGGAGTTAAATTTTCCCTGGAAAAAAMATATTGAGGATTTTTGACTCAAATGTAAATTTGAACTTCTTCCCCTGGACTAGTTGCCTCCTTTCCTCTAGAGGGCCCACTACTGTGGCTTTTAAGAACGCCTCAACAACCGAAAACATGATTGGCAGGTTTCTCCACTAATCGGATTTTAATCCCAGACATCGAAGCCAATCAGAGCCTCACAAATAACTCATCTGTTCGGAGGCGGAAAACCGGAAGTTGAAGATGCTTTTTCATTTGCGAAATTGTCAGTGTAAATAGACCCTGATTATCGGCTTTGTTAAAGACTATGAAGATTTAGATTATTAAATCTTCGAAGAATTATTATTTACATCTTGAAGCTTTACATTCAGACATTTATCTGCAGGTAGGACTTATTTTAACTTTATTTTTGCTTAGCTCGAGTCGGTATGCTAACGATACGAGATTACAGCAGCACCAGTTCTCTAGTATGACTATTACTGAGTCCATTTTTGGCCGATGTATTGTGATATTCGCAACAACAGCCGTGCGTTTGTTACTTCGACCTTCCTSCGGTGTTTCTGAAAGCTCTTGTTCGTTGCTTGTGTCTCTCCTGCGCCTCTGTAGTGGTCAGCATGGGTGAGGTGGAGCTCTCCTGCCGGGCTTACGTAAAGATGTACCTGCACGCCTGTCTGTTTCCGCGCTGCAGCATCAACGGGCTGCTGCTGTCCTCCTCCAGCTCGACAGGTGGCGCTGTGTGTGTGACGGACTGTGTKCCGCTGCTTCACTCCCACCTGTCGCTGGCCCCCATCACACAGCTGGCCCTCACACAGGTGCAGTGTGTTGCTCGTTTCCCAAGTAATACAGTGATTTTATCCAATGTTACTTTCACACTTTAGCGATGGTGTGATGAATATAATAAATGCAAATAGAAGATGTTTTAAGGCAAAAATGTTTTTTAATTTGCCACCAAGTTTGTTGAAAAACATGCAAAAATACTTTGTTCTATTTTTATGTTATCTATATTTCTAAATACTTGTTCTTCCCTTTAGAAATATGTCTTGGTTTCACATATCAGCTTATTGCAGTTTATTTTTACCCACATACAGTTCAAAACTGACATTTTCTTCTGTTTCCTTGTTCTTCAGGTGGATGTTTGGTGTTCTCAGACTCAGCAGAGGATTGTTGGCTACTATCAAGCCAACGCCTGTGCATCAGATAGCAGGTGAGTTTCCACACACACAGACTGAGTTGTATGTTTTCTGACATGAAGCATGTTGGAAGATGGTGTTTATTAAATTGTCAACTTCTCCGTTATCTCTTGACGTGTTTCTGACATGTTTTTCTGCCAGCCCGACGCCATGTGCGCTAAAGATAGCCGACAAGATCACAGAGCAGTTTGAGAGTGCCGTTTTRTTGATGGTAAGAACATTGATCCCTTTTGTTAATCAACTAGATGAGCCTTTTATGAAAYACGCTTTCATATCTGATGCTAATAAAACTGTGTTTTGTCTTTGCAGCTTGACGGAAATAAAATGTCACCAGATTATCGAGTCCCTCCGATCGTCATGTACGAGCGTAAAGATTCAAGATGGATACTTAAAGACAAGCACACGTAAGGATGAGCGGGAGGGGGGTTGGTCTTTCAGGCTTCACACAAACTTAATCAGATGTTCAGACAGGCACAGGAAAACTTCAAGTTTTTAGAGTCTTCTTTGATGAAATAGTTTTGTTGTAACGTTTTCAGGTAGGTATGTTTTGCCCGTTCAGTTTAGGGTAAACGTTTTTAAGCACAACTCAAAAAAAATGAGCCAAACTCTACAACTGTAAATGCTGATAAGACGATCAGTGGGTGGTAGGCATTCCTGTTGAGCAATTCTGAGCCTTAAGTTACAAAAAATTTCTTGGTGAAACTTTTAAACGGGTTTAAAATTTAAAAGCTGTTCAGGACAAAACCTGGTCTTTCTAATTAGATTTTAGGTTCTTTAGACCAGACTTGTTCATGTCTTCATCTGTACAGTTTTAGTCAGTCTGATTTTTGTTCTCCTAAGATACAGTAGTAGTTGTTGTTTGAGCCTTGACTGTAAACTGGCCTGCTTTTTTTATGAAACTCTGGGTGTTTATTGTGGTTTTGCTCAGTGTTTTATTGTATTTTGTCAGAAAAACATTTAAAAATTAAAACTTCAAAAGAGCAGACGTAAAGTTTGTAGGTTGATTCAACGACTCATTAAGGACCTGATGAATTGTTTGTATTCGAAGTGATTTGTGAGGAAGTGATTCAGCACAATCTGCTGGCTTCTTCTTCTTTAGATTGTTCTTTTTTCATGTACCGTGCCCTGAGACAACGTATGTTGTGACTTGGCGCTATATAAATAAACTGAATTGAATTGATTTACAGATGTTAGCAGAGGTTCTTGAATAGATGCTTATTCTGCAGCCCGGACACATCTCTTCTCTGTGTGATTCTGTCCAGGATCATGCTGAGGCAGTGGGAGGAGACCCGGGCCATTGCAGGCCAGATGCTGGAGTCGGGCGACCACCTGCTCCTGGTGGACTTCGACAGCCACCTGGACGACATCACAAAAGACTGGACCAATCAGAAACTCAACTCCAAGATCGAAGAACTCTCCTCGCCGGTTAACGGGAACATTTAACCCAAATTTGTTTGTCCGAGCTGCACTTATTTGTTTTTTTTAGACCCTGCTGACGTCCTGAACAGACGTGACTTTTCTAGAACAGGACTCTCAGAACAGTCCAGGAAAATTTGTTTTTTATTTATTTATTTTTGACTGAACAACATCATGTATAAATAATATTTACATCTTGGTAGATCTCTTTTAGTCTTCCACATCATGTGCCAACCCCAAAACACTGTTCATTTAAATAACTAATCCACCTTAAAATCCCTTCAACACTACGGCTGTCCTGTGTTTATTTTTGGCCCTAGTTTTATTTCTCAATGTTTTAATACTTTACATCACAAACAATAGCAGGGAGACAAAACRCTCTAATACACAAATCCTGCAGCAGGTGGACAACTACAATTCCTTTGTAATTTAGTTAATTTTGTTCATTAACACTTTAACAAATCTTACRTTTTCTGTGTATTAAAGGTTAAACTGAACATTAAATAAAGCTCAAAGCAAAAAATAAATATTGTAAAGAACTCAATCTTATTTTAAAACKGATGCATAAAAACTAAGTCCCACACTGTAAAAGTGCTTTTGATTTCCCTTAATTCAGAGTCAAAATGTTCCAAATTAAGAAGTGAATTTTTGCTCCTCATGTCTGAAAACATTTAGAAGAACTCTGCTGCAGGACTTCTGTATTGTTGGATAAAACCAAWGAACAGCTTTTAACGACTGAAATAGTTTGAACTCTAAAGAACATTATTTTAATGCTTGCAATTTGCAACAGTTTCCCAAAATAATAAAAAAACCTGAATGTTTGTAGTTTGTTGTTTTAACCAATTATAATAAACATGAGTGCTGTTTTTCTACTCATTGGAAACATTTAGCAATCTATTAAAACAACAAAAAAATTATAAGTATTTGCTAAAAAAATAAATTCAACAAAAAAGTGACAATTTGTACAGAGTTAATACAGTAACATTTACATTAAGTATTTCTGCTGAAATATGAGGTTATGATGCACGTTTCCTTGTTTTATATCTAAATTAGTTTGACGTGATACAGCACGGTTTTATAAACACGATTGTTTAAACTCAACTTCTAAATCTTTGGGAAAAACAAAAAGTGGCTACCAGTTAAAAGCACCTAATTTCTGCCTCATTTTCCCATCTGAGTGTTGGTTGGTTTGTAGTGTTGCAGAGCTCTGATCTTACAAGGAGAAAATGGTGTTTTTCATGGTCCTAACTGTTCAAGCTTCTTAAGTTAAACAGATTTTTCTTTTAAGCGCCTTAAAAACATTTTTGTGACCTCAGTTCACTTTAAAAGCAATAAAACCCGCCTCACAAACCACCATCTATTCTCTTCATGTCGTCACATTATAAACGGGCTTCAGGTGGTTTTATTTTGGTGAGAGCAGGAAGTTTTTCGCTGTAGTTTGGTTTTAACMGGTCAGCTCACACACAGCCGGGCAGGCGGTCGTCTCTGCGCACAGCTAYGGCACGGTGACGATGTTCAGGGTGATTTCTCCCAGAGGAGACTGGTTCGCCAACGTCTGGAAGACCGAGATGGTTTCAAACATGGACAGGGCGCTCTGCACTTGTTGCTCGGCCCACGGGARAGAAATCTGCAGAGGAGGAAAGGTCYGATGGTGTTAAARTGCCTGTGACATGCATATTCTTCAAATACAAAAAGTCAAAGACAACACCTTTATATTTAAGAAAGTTGGAATAATACACAGGATTTAACACATTTTGTCACATAAATGGCATATTCATCAGTGTGCATTGCCAATGCAATGCAATGCACACTATTGTGATTCGTTTCCCATCAAAGTCATCTCCACTTTGCCATGCTTCACCTCCTGCATACTTTGTCCTAGAGCTGCCATTGTAATTTATATCTGTAAAACTCCTGTGCCAAATGATGGCTATGCCTTTTGGTGCCTGTACAACTTATAGTTTTTGAAATATTGATGTTTAATAATTTATAATGAGAGTCAATGGAGCCTTGTATTGGTCCAATACTGCCCCCTGCTGTATCTACTCGGTACTGAACTATAGTTTAATAATATTTAATCTCAATAGTTCTGTGGTTACAATACTAATATGATTGTATTTTGATGTTTTACTATAATGTTGTCCTAACATTGCTCTATTTCTGTAATATATTACAGTTTATTGTCAACAATTGCATTGGCAATGTGGCCTCGTTCTGCACACATACAAACCAAACCCTGGCAATGCCCTCTGCCCAATGGTCTCATGGTTAACTCTATGGTCTTTCATGTGGGAGATCAGGGTTCAAAACCCAGCTACAGTAACTTTAACAAAAAATCTCTACAAACTTCATAYTGTTACACAATTACCCTCATTATAGACACCTGSTGACTTGACAAGCACAAGTTGGTAGAAAACACATTTGAACTTGRTCACATTTCATTCTGCAAGTSCACTGCTGCAGGCAAAGCCATGCTACATGGCAATGCACACTTGTTTTTACATCGTAAAAACCCATGTCTAGTTTCTTTTGAACTTGGTTTAGCTAAAGTGAAACAGGAAGTGACATCAAAGGGGAACTCTTTAACAAAGAAAACTCTGGTTTTTGTTTATTGAAACAATATTATTTGAACTCTGACTCTTCATCTCTCTGATAGTGACTCAAAATAATGTAAAGAAACATCAGATTCTTCTCTACAGTTTGGGTTGTTGGCTGTTGTAGCAATGCTCTGTTCACAAGCAGACATTCCCCTTTGACATCACTTCCTGTTACTTCACAGGCAAATATCTCAACAAATGTTCATCTCAAGACATGAAATTTGTTTTGCAATATTTTATCAATGTCCTCTTTCTAAAAATGCATTCGTATATATTACAACAATTTGACGTCACAGGCACTTTAAAACTGTGGCTACTGGTCAGGTATAAATGCAGCTGTCCAGTCAGTTCTACATGAGTCTTCAGTGTCGGAGGGTTATTTGCTTTCTTTTACCTGAGCRATGATGAGCTTTTTGGTCGGGTCTTCGGTGTTGCTGAGCTCCTCGCCAAAACACAGAGTGAAGCTGCACTGAGGAGGCTCGCCGCCGTTCGTACTAAAATGTTCCAGTTCTGATGAAACACGAAACAATTGATTCTAAAATGAAGTACTCTCGTTTATAAAGCTCATCTTAATCGTTCATTTCAACCAGGTGTGTTGAAGCAGCGAAACATGCAGGACAGTGGGCAACAGGTTTTCACTGTACGAATCTACCTTTTCTGTAAAACATTTTCAGTTTTTTGCCCGACTCACGTTGCTTGAAGACATCTTTACTGAAGAGCAGCACCGGGTCGGTATTCCTCTCCATCCTGTGCAGGTCCGACGTGGTCGTGTGTGGCCCCGTCCAGAAGATCCGGCCCTGGCAGAACCTCCTGCCGTACACTCCCTGCGGCGTGGAGGTCAAGGCGACTCCTTTCTCCATAAAGGGCAGCAGGGTGAAAAGTGCCTGGCGCTCGGGGCCGGCCAGCAGCGTGGACGGCGGCTCCGGCAGCGGGATGCGTAGAAACCTGCTGTTCAGGGCAGCSGGAGTGGGGGGCATGGAGGAGGAGGGCTGGTACGTTATCCGAACGTCKGCGCTGTTGATCTGACGTTTCAGGACCTCCTGTCCGAGATAATGAACGGCCACGTTGAAGGAGTCCTGGGCTGTACACACCGAAACACAGGAGGGTTAAAGGACTGCCTGTAGTGTTCCAGCTGGTTCAGTCGTAAACATTTATTACCTCCTGCAGCAGCAGGAAAATTCTCCTCGATCCGCACGTCCAGCCTGATCTCATCCACTGCTGCTGGACACAAACAGGGCAGAAGAAGTAGTGATCAATCAGCTGACTGTTCTGCTGCACGTTCGTTTTATTGATGTGAAAAATGATTTTTAAAAAACTAAATGTTCGGAGACTAAAGAAACCTCTTGCTCAGACCTCAATTTAATCCTTGAAAACTTAAACTTTGCTTGATTTAACACTGCATGTTTTTTTTTATATATAATATGATAAATAATCTTTACTGCTTTAAACCTGTGGCTGAGACTCAATTCATTTTTAGTTCTAGTAAATCTTAGAAGATTTGTAAAGTTTTTTAGAGGGTTAAATGAATAAACGAGAGCTATAAMATGATAAAAGTGAAACTCACCGTCTCCTAGTACGGGGGTGCACTGAGAGGAGCCTTCTGATTGGCCGGGCTCGTYGTTCTGCAGCAGTGGCTCTTCTACATGCTGCAAATCAGAAAAAGAAATTGAGTCATAAACGTTKAGCTTGTTTCCCATCAGCTTTATTATTTTGCAGAAACACGTTTGCGACTTTGATTAGCGGACTTTTAATCCAACTAAARGCTCTTAAAATGGTTTTGATTTATTGTAAAAAGTTAAACTTTATAAAATCTAATCAGAGTGTATATTGCTCAAAAAAAAAGTTTGAATCTTTTCATTATTCTGTCCACGTTTGAGTAAACTCACCAGCTGAGAGGTGACCTCTTCTTCTTTTATCTTTTTAACCAGAGTGGTGTCTTCGCTCTCAGAATCGCTGCTCTTCCTCTTCTGCTTCAGCCTCTTGCCGACTTTTTCTTTGCTCTTCTTCTCAGGGACCAGCACACCTGAGAATACAGAGGGGAGAATGATAGAGGCTTTTTTTATTTTAAACAGGAATCCTGAGAAGAAGAAGAAAACTCATCCTGGACATATTCTTTTATTTATTTATCTATCATTATTTAACCAGGCAAGTCCCGTTGAGATCTCAGATCTCTTTTTCAATGGAGGCCTGGGCCTGAAGGCAACCTATTGTACATGTTTTTTAGGGATGGGGGGAACCGGAGCACCCGGAGAAAACCCACGCCAGCACGAGAGGAACATGCAAACTCCACACAGAAAGACCCCCAGGTCCAAACCAGGGATTGAACCCAGGACCTTCTTGCTGTGAGGCGTTGGTGCTAACCACTGAGCCGTCACGCTTTATTTATTTTTATTTTATTTAACCTTTATTTCAACAGGCAAAACATTAAGTACAGTTCCTTATTTACAATGCTGGCCTGTTGACTTTATCACGTTCCTCCAAGAAGGCAGACGTTTTTGTTTTMATCAGAACTCTCTCAGGCACACGTCTTCTCTACCAGTGAGGAAGAGATCTTGACTGATGTGGAAACATAMACGCAGAGGTTTATAGTAAMTAAGTACATTTACTTTGTTACAGTACTTGAGTCCTTTTTTGAGGATTTGTAATTTTACCAAGTATTTTTTTAAATCATGACTTTTACTTAGTTACTTTTAAAACCTAAAAATGACACTTTTACTTCTTTACTTTAAAGTTTAACACCTCATTATAAATTAAATCTGTCTGAACTCATCATGAAAGGAGTTGTTCATGTGCTCTAAAAAAWTAAGTGTTGAATTTTCTCAACTAAATCATATCAACTATTTCCMCTAAACCTAGTGGAGTAAATCTGAGGTGATATTAGGGGTGTAAGAAAATATCGATACACTGAAATATCGCGATTTTTCATTTCCTGATACTGTATCGATATTCTAAAGC